AGCCTGGCCTCCAGTTTAGCCACCATCTCTTGGAACCGGCACCCATCCTCCTCCGCCTCCCTCTGCTGCTGACACAGGCTGTCCTGGAGCGCTGGGGAGAGGCAGCAGCGGGGCCATGAGCAGCATGAAGAGGGAAGCCCCACTCTGTCTACCCCATATTCACAGAAAAACTGCATGCGCTTGTGCTCAGCACCTTCTGCACATCCCCCAGGACACCATTTTGGAAAGGAAAGACCCTGAGAAGCCCAGTGACTGAGGCAGGCAAGGCTCTGCCAGCCTTGGATCCAGGCCTCTGCCTGACTCGGAGCACCTTCTCCCCATTTCATGGGTGTCCCCAGCCCTGGCGGGGACCCTGTGGCCATTTTGGCGCAGAGGAATGGCAGACATACCCTTGAGATACTTCTCCTGCTTCTGTGCCCCCATGGCCAGCTCCTGGGAGGTTGTCTGCTGTGTGGCCTCCACCTTCCGTAAAACATCACACAGGATGCCACAGAAGTTCTCCATCTGATCCATGACAATGTTCAGAGTCCTGCAGAGAGCAGCGAGGGGAGGGTTACCCCAGGGGGACACACCTCATCTCCCCACGATGGAGAGGGGGACGTGTGGCGGGCCAAGGGCCGGGCAGCCCTGCCCCGAACCCTTCTGGGGCAGAGCAGAGCAGTATTCCTGCATCAGCAGAGCTCAGCGTCCCTGGAGGCAGAGGCTGGGAGAGGAGGTGGCCTCTGGTGCCACAGTCCAAGGCTGCTTCCCTGGAGCACAGGGAACACCGTGGCCAGGGACCAATGCAGGGACACAATGGCAGCCATCGGTACCTGGTGTGCAAAGTGGCCCTGGTCACCGCCTCAATCTCCTGGTCCTTCAGACACTTCAGCTGCTGGAGCTGCTACTTGTGCTCTCTGCGCAGCTCCTGCACAGACACCCTGAAGGATACGGGCAAGGAGCCCACCACGGGCTGTTACAAACTGGGGCTCCCCAGGACAGACAGTGGGGACAAGGCTTGGTTAAGGGCCTGGGAACCAGGTCCCAGGAGCTGAGCTGGCACGGGGCTGTCCCAGGGCATCCACTGACAGGCATCGGCACTGGGCACGGACCACAGCTGGGGGGGACAGGCTTCTCCACCAGAAACTGATTTCTCATTGACCCCCAGTGTGTGGGCAGCAGTGACTCACTGACCAGGATAAAAGGGGGTTGGGGGAGATAAAACACTGGGCTCAGAATCTTGCACAATATAATGCATTTGCTCGGAAAAGATGTCTCCAGCCACATCTCCCTCTATCCAGCTACAAAGCAAATCCCCACTCCAAACGCCGCCCAACTGCCCACAGCCCAGTGCTTCTGGAGGCTCCTGTCACCATGGCCCCAAACCAGTCCCCAATTCCTCTGCCACAACCAGCAGCACCGGCCCCACACCTGCACTGCTCGTGCCACTCTCACCTCTGCAGCTCTCGCAGCCGCTCCAGCTCGGCCAAGTGCTGCGCCAGCAGCTCCGCCCACTCCTGCTCCGCCTCCTGCCTCTGCCCCAGGAGCTGAGCCACCAACTGCTCCTTCTCCTGCCGCAGCCTCTGCTCTCACTGCCTGCAGGTCTCCTCTAACATCTTCACCTGGCTCCTGCCCGCAGGAAGAAGAATTGTGACCTTCAGGGCAGCAGTCAGCCCTCTCCACCCACAGCTCACACGGGGATTTCAGAGCAGAGCGGCAACGCTGGGGGTGCGGGGAAACACGTGGCTCAGCCCTGCTGGCCCTGGGAACAGCTCCTCCTCCTTCTGCCCCACAGGACAGGGTGGGTGAGAGCAAACCCTGCCCTTGGCTCATCTGTGGGGCTCCTCTCTGCCCACACCAGCTCCACACCCACACAGCTCTGGACCTGCCCGTCCCAGGGATGGATCTGGGCAGCGCCCCAGCACTCACCCCCCCGGGGAGAGGGACAGGGCTGTAGGCAAGGCCCTTTCAGAGGAATCGCCTGTGGGTACCTGTGGGTGCTGTCGAGGAGATCCAGGTCCTCCTGGTGCCGCTGCCGGAGGATCTCCAACAAGGGTTTGTCCTGAGCCCGTGCCAGCTCCAATGTCTGCACCTGCCGGGCACCCAGGGAGAAGGTCCTTGTACCGCCCAAGGGACAGAGCTCCCACAGCAGCACTTGCTGGCCGCAGCCTTCTCTGGACAGGCAGCTTCCTCCACTCTGCCTGTGCCCCTGATGCCATTGGGAGCAGGCGTGGCTCCTGCTCCCCCATCCAGCAGGCCATGGGGCTCACCTGGCTCTCCAACTCTGCTACACGGGCCCGGGCACGGAACAGTGCTGCCTGACTGTCCGTCACATCCTCGTGGAGCTGGGCTGCGGGAGCCCCCAGCTTCCTCTCATGCAGCAAGCCCAGACCTGGAGACTCTGCCTACAGTGACACAGATAAAAGACACAGGCCCTTCAGCATCTGGGGCTTTGTGCTGTGGCCATCAGCCCCTAAAGGCAGGCACATGCCCCGTGGGCAGCTCTGCCCAGCCTGTGCCTGGGGAACTCTCTCAACACTGCACAGGCAATGCAGGGCTGCAATGCACACAATTTACAAAGCAGCCACAGCACACACGCTTTGGCCTCACAAATACAACCCGTGGGATCTCAGGGCTCTCCAAAGCCTTGGCTTGCATCAACACAGGCTCCCACGGATGCAAAGCACGGCACAGCCATCCTCCTGCCCAGGGAGCACAGACAGGGCTGGGTGACCCTGAGTTGGCAGGGGAGGGCTCATGATCACCACCCCGATCCTGCACCTCTAGGGGGCACAGGCCCAGCACACCTACCTGAGCCAGCGGGGCAGGGCCCTGTGTCTCCTGCTCTCCCAGGAACAAGGCTGCAGGGACTGAAAATGGAACAAGTCTGTGATTCAGACAGGCCAAGGGCAACCACTCCCTCCCACAAGGATGAGGACCTGGGTCTCCTTGGCAGAGCGAGAAGGGTCCTGCCACACTCTGGAAGCTGGGGATGGGGACAGAGGCTCAGATAGGCTCATCCAGACCCGTGTTCCTACCCCACCCCACGCACAGTGGTGGGGACTCTGCTCTGCAGAGTAAGTCTAGGGGAAAAGCACAGCTCCTCCTCCATCTCCATCAACTAGGGAGGAGGCTGGGTCCCCTCAGCCACTTTCAGTGGCCTCTCGAGTGGTGCTCAGCCTCAGCCTAGGACAGGAGGGGGTCTGCCAGTACACAGCGCTAGTGGCATGAGGGTTGGGGCAGCAGGAGGGAAGAGGGAGAGAGAAGGGACAGCACGAACTTAGGCCCACCTATTTCTCAGAGAGAGCAAGTCCCCAGCAGCAGCACTGTGGAGCTCAGTGTGCCCCAGCACCGTGTCCCCACCACGCCACAACACGGGCATGGTGGCATCCTGCAGCCCGGCAGCCCCCTCCAGCAACTTCTGGGCAAAGCCCGGGAAGCGCTCACATGGACAAGGGCGATGCTGCGCCTCTGGCCTTTTTGTGGCTGGTTGTTCTTGCCGGGCCGGGTGGGACCCTCTCTTCATTCTGCTGCCCAAACTCTACCACCACACAAAACGCATCCGGGGCACTGGCATCTCCGGAAGGATCCCACTGTGCTGCCTCTGACGGCTGAGCTGAGCCTTGTTCCACGGTGCTGAGCCAGAGGAGTGGTGGCCTGTGTGGGCACAGAGACACGGGTGATGCACAGCAGTGCCGCAGCTCAGGGAGAGGTGCCCAGACATTTTCCTGCTCAGCATTTCTTGGGAGTTTTTAAACTTCAGAGCCACCTGCCCTCCTGCTTACAGAGGTGCCAGGGCACTGTGATCCCCCCGCTGGGTACCAGCCCTCCCTGTTGCCCCATCTCCCACACACAGCTGCTTTCTGCAGGACATTCCTCCCATGGAGGACGCCTGAAAGGCGAAGGCAGCCTTACCTGGAGCTGTCTGTGCTCACTGCCTCGGCCTGCATGGCAGCTGCCTGTGGCCGTGCTCCTGGGGAGGCTGCTGGCCAGCTGCAAGCAAAAAGCATCCTATGTGGGAGAGCCAAGGAGGCGAGGAAAGACAAGATCCTTTCCCCCCAACACCAGCTCCTGCCTGGCAAGGGAAAGCCTCTGTCGCATTCAGCTGCACCAGGATTCAGCCTCTGGGCTGCAGGGGGAGCAGAGACACCTCAAAACCTCCCTCGACGTTGCTCCTCCTTGCCGCATCCACCCCCTTCCCCTGGTCAGCAGCAGCCCCACCTAACACAGCCCTGCCCACACCACGGGGGCTCTCTGTCTGCAATTCGCTTCCCACTCCCCTTCAGTGGCACAAGTCTGGACCTGGGTCCATGCCAACTCAGCTGGAGGAGAGGCTTTGCCTCAACGAGGAGGAAGGGCAATGAAGGCAGGGACCAGGAGCATGGGGAGGAGCTCGTGGGGGTGTGCTGATCCAGGACAGCTCCACGGAACTCACAGCACTGTGTGCCCTCTTGGCTACAACTGCAAGGAGAGCCCAGAGCTGTGAGGGCACTGCAGGCTGGATCACTGGGACACAGCCCCACATTATTACCCCAACCTGAGACAAGACAGTGCTTCAAATTAATTTCTCAGATTGGAGCCCAGGGTTTCTGAGAGCCCCTGCTGGACAGCCACATGCGGAGCAGACGGGAGTGCTGCGGCAATCAACCATGCCTTTACCTGACAGGAGAGCAGTGATTCAGCCCTTCAACTGGGGCTTCCGAGGGCTTGGCGCTCCTCTGCTGGGCCTTCGCCTGCGCTTGGGCTTTTTTGCGAGATAAGGCAGCACTTAGCCAGTCCTCCTCCTCCTCCACTGGGGCAGGTTTAGCAGCTGCCTCCTCTCCAGCTGGGACGTGTCTGGTGGGGCCGTGCTGCCCAGCTGCTGCAGGACTGGCCTTCGGTGGAGATGACAGCTCCAAATCCAGAATGTCTTCGTCTTTCAAGCCCCACCAGTCGCCTCAATTCCTGCAGCCCTGCATGGGCCTCCGGCTGGCTAATGGGGGAGCTTTGGAGAGGGGCTCTGCTTTAACTTCACTGTTCTTCTCGGCTGAAAACCTGCTGTGAGGAGAAGCAGCTGCATCCCTGCCTGTGAGGGGACACCGGGGACCCTGCCTGCGCTACTGCGGGGGCAGCATGGCCGGGGCCTGGAGCTACAGACACAGAGAGCACAATACCTCACAGGCTGCCTTCTTGCCAGCTGGCCCTTGGCTGTGGAGGCCACTGAAGGCTGGTAAACTCCAAACACAAAATCCTCCTTGCACCAACCCTCTTCCTTCTCTGTTCAGACAAGTGGCCTTGACTCAGCACCCAGAGGAGCAGCCAGCTGCAAAGACTCCAGCCCTCCCTCCTCCCACCCTGCAATTCCCACTGATGTTGCTGCTTCTGGGAAAACACCACTGGAAACCTCGTGCCTAGAAACCAGACAGCAAGGGGCCTCCTCAGCACGGCTGGGGAAAACTTTTGTTGGGACTCAGCCCACGTCCAAAGGCAGCCGAGTTACAGACCCTGTGCAAATGCTACCAAGCTGCCGCAAGGGCACAAAAGACATTTCCCCTGCAAGGGCAGTAGAAATCAAGCTCGCTCGCCCAAGCCAGTGCTGCCACCTCTGCAGCCCTTCCCAGCATCCCTGGCTCTGCTCACCCAGCTGCTTTTGGGGGTACTTCTGTGTGACCTCCTGGCACTCTCCCAGGCCTGGCTCTTCCAGGATTCTGGACACGGAGCCTCGTCCCAGCAACTCATCCAGCATGGCGCGGGCTGGCCGGACCTCCTCTCTGCTGGGGACACAGCGGCAGATGGGTTTCTCTCAGAGGCAGGGCTCTTCCTCCTCACTCAGCCTTGCCAGCCTGCTCTGGCTCTTCTCTGCCACACAGGGCTGCTCCTGCCCCTTGCGCCGACCCACAGGCACAAGCTCAGCATCCCCCACCCACCATGGTGGCACCATCTCAAGACACAAGCCATCCCCTCCTTTATTCCCACCCCCCTTCACTGCCCTTACTCTCCTGCCTTGTTGCCATCTCTTCCCGGGCTGCTGCCAAGTCCCATGGCATCCATCAGGTCGGTGATGTCCTCGTCAAAGGTGATCTCCTTCCTCCTCCACGTTGGAGCCGTGGTGCGCAGGGGCGTCCGGGCTGCGCGTGGCTCTGGGAGGGTGACGGAGAGAATCACACATGGTAAGAGGTTTTGAGCTAGGCTTGGGTGCTTGTCTCCCTTCTTTTTTTTTCCTTCTTTTTTTGCCCCCAGCAAGAGATCAGAGCAGCCCTGACTGCTCTCAACTCTCAGGACCATTTACAGAATCACTTTTAAATAGCTCTTTTCAGTGACCAAATCTCACAGCAAGTGACAAACTACCACCTGGTCCATGGACACTGATGGGACACTGCTGGGTGTCACTGACACTGAGGCTTCCAGCTCTGGGGGACTTCTTCAGCTTTGCAAGTTCCACTCAGAGAATTCCTCCCCGCCTTTGCCCCAAGTCCCTCTTCCACCAATGTACCTTAGTCCTTGCCCCAACCCACCAGCAGCTGCTCCTGTCCAGAGAAGATTTTTCAGGGTGAAAGGACGTTTGAGGGGACTATCAGACCCACTGGCATCCCTGCTGCAGCAACAGGAGACACGAGTGCCTGTAACACGGTCACACTGTAGCTGGATCCCACCCAGAGGTGCAACTATGCTTTGGGGTGCATCAGCAATGCCCTCAGCCACCCAAATCCTGACCCAGAACACTGGTTCTCCTCTGGCAGTGTGCAGAACAGGCTGGATGAGGTCCAAGGGAAGATCTGAGACTCCAGTCCCAGAAAGGAAAAGTCAGTTCTGTAACCCCTAGCACACTGCAAATATTGAGCACTCGGGGAGCTGTTACCACCTGTAACCCTGCTACGAAGCTGCTCCCTAAAGGGCCATACTGGTTAACAAGAGATGCCACTAGCTGACTTTCCTTTAACCTTCAGACATCACACAAACTCATCCAGGCTGCTGATTCATTTAATACAAAGAGGATGCATCAAACAACCCTGCTCACTTTGCTCCTTGCTCTGTTTTCCTTGCATCTCAGGGATGCTTTCAGCACCTGGCAGAGTTGGCTTATTGGGAGCATCCTGCTCCTCATCAGACAAGAACCCCGACAGAGGATCATCTAAATCTGGCAGTTACCCCGTAGGGGCAGAAAATAAAACAATCAAAACAAACAAATCAACAAAACCAAGGTTATTGAGAACGACGCCTCTTGTGCTAAGCCAAACACTGCTCCCCACCACGTGCACATGGGGACAGGAGATCATCTCCGCCCAAAGCCACGAACGCAGACTCTGCACAGACCTGGGACACCCGTGAGTGTCTCAGCATTGGGGTGCTTTAACGCTTGACTACTCTTTAGGCAATAACAAAGGGGAGGAGAAAGCCCACCTCCATTACCCCAAGACAATTAGTGATTGGAACAGATGCTGACCTCAGGTAAAGCACAGGCTCTGATAGCCAGATCTCAGCTGTGCCAGGAAACTGGCTCCCGTCTTGGGAAGGGGGACAGAATCCCCCCCTCCCCAACACAAGGGTCTCCCAGTGCTACAGACAGGCATTGAAAACCAAAGCAGGCCTGAAAAAGCAAACACCCTCAGGAATCCTTGCCCAGCCCCACCCTGGGGAGGGCCTCCAACACCAAGCAGTCTTTTTTCTTTTCTTCCTTTGGTCATCTCTAAGGGATGAGGTTGGCACGGGCATCGCAGGGGTGAAGGATGCTCTATGTCATTAACCAGCCGAGCCTTTGGGTGACAGAAGAGGCAAGCTATGGGCAAAGAGCAAGGACAGAGTCCTCAGCTGCCCCCACACAACTACGTGCTGAAGGGAAGTGACATCCTACCTTCAAAGTTAAATTTCCTGTACTGTCAGGAAGCAGCGAAGGACAACAGGGGCTTCTTCTCTACCGCAGGTCCAGACTCTCCTGCAAAGAGAGGCCACAGCTCTCACAGACAAGGTCCTGCGGAGATGTCCCTTTCCCACCCTGGCCAAAGGTCACTTCTCTGGTGGCAGACCCCTTCCCTAAAAGCACATCCCGGGACACACAGTCAGTCTCCTCATGGCCCTGTGGGGTGGCAACCTCTCTGGAGGGGCCTCCTTGCAGGCAGAGAAGGAGAAAAGGCCTTGGGGAAGACCAGGATAGGCCGGGGACAGGCACATCTTCAACAAAACCCCCTGGCTCTCCTTCCACACAGACCAAGCAGATCCCTGGTCTTTGACCTGCACCAGGCAACTGCCAAGTGGGGTTTGGTGGCAGGCAGCAGCACGGCTCTTGTGGCTGCTGAGGGCAGTGATGTTACCACAGCACGACATGAGGCCGGGCCAGGGATCAACCCAGGGACAACACACGGCCACAATGGCTGGGACAGCCCCAAAAAAGACTTTTGGGAACAAAGCCACTTGTTATTCCCTATTGCAGAAGAAAATACGTCCTGCTCGTCTGGAACCAGCCTACCACAAGAAGAGCAGAATCTCCTTTTCACCTTTCCCAGGGCCTTTCACGGTTGCCTGCCCTGGCCCAGAACCGGCTCTCGACGCTCCCAGCGGATCAACTTCCAGGTCGTCCAAGTCCTGGAAAGCAACAGGATGGCGACGGGAGCAGGGCGAATGCTACTCCTGCCTCAGCGCTGCTTCTCCCTTCAGAGGTTGGTGCTGGAGGCCACGGCTGCAGCCAACACGGGGCTCAGGCAAAGGGTATTTTTGCACAGACGTTCAGCCTTTGCAGTGGAGCTTGGGGCTCTCTGCCGGAGGCACTGGATCCCTGCATGCCGAGGAGGGCAGAGGTCAGAGACAAGCACACTTTGGGAACTCCTCACCCCTCGCTTCTGTGCTCCAGACCCTGCGTTTCCTCCTTGTTTGCAATGGGAGAGCACATGCCCAGCCCCTCCTGGTGTGTCCCTCACCGGAAACCCCCCCGTGCCTCGATTCCTCTGCTGAGATCCTACTGCCTCCGAGAGAAGCGTCAGCAACACCCAGGCCGGTGCTTTGGGTGAGGGTCCTTCCTGTGGCGCTTCCTCCCAAGAGCACCCACCAGGGCTGGGCTGCAGCACAACGTGCCCCCTGGTGAGCCTCCAGCTCACCCAGGGCACCCGTAAGCCCTTCTCCCGCCATCCACCCGCTCCCCTGGCCCAGCTCCCCCCAGCCATGCCAGAGAAGGGTCACCTCTTCAGCCACACCTCATGGTTCCCCCCGATATCCCACTGCTGACTTGGCTGGGCTGACACTAGGGGCAAGCCTGGCCCCCCTCAGTCCCACCTCTCAGGGTACCCAGGCTCAATCCCAAAAGTTGGGTTCACCTCTGCACCTTTCACATCCTCTGAAAGTAATCTGTCGAAGAAATCCTCCACTACATGGGACCTGTGACACAAGCCCGGGGGTCAGCAGCAGCACCTGTGAGCTCAGCCAGGGCGCGCTGGGGACAGCCAGGCCAGGTGGCGGCAGGCGGAGGGCACCGCATGGGCACACCACGGCAGCCATGTCGGGTGACAGAGAAGGAGGCGAAAATAGCCCCGGCATAAAAGACGGGAGTGCTGGGACTGCTGTAGATAAGCAGGCAACTCTCCTAAGGCAGATGTACAGGAGATTTACTGGGCTGGGCGCACCCAGCCCTCACTGGAAAGCTTCAGGCTCTGGGCTCCCAGTTCCCAAAGGCATCGCCGCTAACTCGCCTTCCCGGGCAATCGCTGTCAGGGCAGGGAGCGAGGAGGAGAAGCCGAGGATGGGACGGGTCACAAGGACCTGGGGGACACAGGGAGATCTCCAAGAGCGAGACCCTGTGTCTGAAAGGCACTCACTTCTGGCTGGCTGCCGCGCTGGCGCCCTGGCCTCTCCCACTGCTGCCTCTGGCCAGCCAGGTACTCCTCGCAGAATTCATGGGGCTTTCATCTGGAAACAAGACAGAGACGTGAGTATGACAGACACAGGCACATTCCTTACTTGGGCACCCCAAAGGGGGATGTGCCGTCTCCCCACAGGACACGGAAGCTTTTAATCAGAGATGAACTTCACTCGGCCTCCCCAAGTTGACGGTCGGCCTCTTCAACGGCCTCTGACTCTGGGAAACCCTGCTTGCTGCTTCCTCCCCCCTCACAGCTGGAGCCCCCTCAGAGACCAGCACCTCCTGCTCTCAGCAGGGCAGCAAGAGGACAAGGATGCTGCCCTTCCAGCTGCAAAGAAGGTTCCATTTACTAACCTCATATCCCAGGAGGTTGTCAAGCAGGTCATCCACAGACTCTGAAACCAGACACATGAAAGGTGTTGAGGCAGGGGAGCTCACCACGCAGGTACAGACAAGCTCCCAGTTTCACTATGCCTCGCTCTTCTGAAATCCCCCAAGCATAACACTTTGGTCTCAAGCTCTATCAGCATAAGGCCTTCCTAGAGAGAACTGCCAGCACCTGACCCAGTATTTTGCGGATAAAAGAGTTCACTTCACTTAGCCAAAAAGGAGATCTCTTTATCAAGGAGCCTGCAGCTTCCTGTTCAGTCACTGCCACAAGCAGCCCTTCAGCTGGCAGTTCTCACCCCACAGTGTCTCAGAGTCCCTGGGCAACCCCAAAGGCCCCACTTCAGTGTCTGGGGCTGCCAGAGTGCCCCAAACAGGCACCTGGGCTTTAGGTGAAGCGAAGACCTGAACTAAGGGCAGATATTCTGCCCCGGTCTGGGGAAAGCCCGCAGGAAAGGCCTGCAGGACCCCCATAAGCAAACCCCCTCGGCGTCAGAGGCAGGCAAGCATCTCTGCTCAGCAAGGAGACGACGCCTCAGCTGCACCTCTCAGACAAGGCCCAGGAACCATCGCCCTGGCCAGGACCCCACCTGAGCCCGCTGCCCCCCCGCCTCTGGCCCCGAGTTCCCACCACAACAAAGCACCGACGGACACCGAAGGGAACGCGCCCCAGGCTACCTACCGTGGAAACTGCTCTGGGGGTTCGCAGCCTACAGAGAAAGGCAAATTCCCTCAGAGAAGGGCGCAGGCCTGGCTCCTCCTTCTCAGAACACGCCGCAGTCAGGGGCACGGGTCTCCAGAGCGCCCCACAACCAACAGCAAAGCCCCTCCCGACCCCGATGGCTGGGAAACGGCCCCTCAAACGCCCCAAGCCCCGAGAGGTCCCAACTCTGGCGGCAGCGGTGAGCACAGCCCCTCCCGCCCCCGAACCGAGGGGCCGGCGCAGCACTCCCCGCACTCACCACCGCGGCGGCCCGGCCTTCCCCGCTCTCCCGCCGCCTTCCCGGCTCCTGCCGCTCTCGCCTCCACCGCTCCCTGCAGGGGCACAAGAGTCTCCTCAGCGCCCGGCCCGGCCCGCGGCACCCC